TGCCATCATTGTGGATCGTACAGCTTTGTTCTTTTACATAGTCTGGACTTTGAACATGCCACCATTGGGAATTGTACAGTTTTTTTCCTTTTACACAGTCTGGACTTTAAACATGCCACCATTGTGAATCGTACAGTTTTGTTGTCCTTTTACATAGTCTGAACTTTAAACATGCCACCATTGTGAATCGTACAGTTATGTTGTCCTTTTACAAAGTCTGGACTTTAAACATGCCACCTTTGTGAATCGTTCAGTTTGTTCTTTTATATAGTCTGGACTTTAAACATGCCACCAATGTGAATCGTACAGTTATGTTGTCCTTTTACAAAGTCTGGACTTTAAACATGCCACTAAAACTGTACGATCACACGTCCTTTTAGACTGGGTTCACCACCAGGAGTACAGGACGTTAGACATGAGTACTTAGTCTAGAAACGTGATTTTCTGTCACGTGCTCGGTAGCCAGTTGTAGAACGTTCACTTTCTAATTACACGTCGTCCTTCCAGATATAATCTCTAACCCTGAATTGGTGTAAAGTAACATTGCTCGGTAGCAACGCGAACATCGCACAAAATGGTGACTGCTACAGATTTTTTCTTTTCTGAGCGTAACTAGTAATTATTGTTAGAATAATGAAGTTTTACACATTCTTTAAAACTATTATTGCTACATAGATATATTATAATGATATGATAAGACTGTCTGCATATATTTCAAACTCGTAACATACAGACAAGCCAAAGATGGAGTTAGATGATTTACAGGAAATGTTAGAAACACAGTCAGTGTATGCGGGTAAGTTGACTTGTATTTAATGTCAAAAGATTCCGCACATTTCGATACATGTGCATGGATGAAAAAATTACACATTTCTTTACATGAAATGAATTAATTTTGGAAGATAGGTCTAATTCAGAGAGCGTTTAATATCTGTGGAGTTATGATCAACAGAAACGAACCCATATATATATATAAGAACCGAATACAAGTTATCCAGAAAATCAACGTTTGCTGTTTTCTAGAAAGTTAATTAGTCAAAAGTCATAAAAAATAGTTCCCTCATTATTAATAATCTGTATAAAATTTGTTATATGTGTAATATAATACTGTTAAGATAAAATTATCAGTGAACCTGAATTAGAAATCATAACCACTATACTGGATATACGTCTTCGAGACCCTTAACGAAGCTGCCGATAGAGGGCGACCAGGACTTAGTAATGATGCTGATCTATTGGCTCACGTCTACGTATAATATATATTTATCTATCAGTAAACTTCTTGCACTTCACTTAATCATTTTCATAGGAAATATGAACACTTTACGTTCCCCCATCAGTCTACCATAGAAAGTTAACACTAGCTTAAGAACAATATGGTTATGATTTCATGAGTTTCTCACACGATTAATTTCTATTCTTAAACTTTTTTTTTCAATTTGTGTTGTAATTCCATATGACGAAGATCTCTCTAAAAATTGTAGGTTAACACAACTTTATATCTTATAGTGGTAACTTTCTTTTTTACGTTACTACATCCATGTTTAGATGGCGTTAAAACAATGTTCCTTGAAGTTTGATTTTGTGCCTTATAGTACTGTTATGATATAAAAAGACTGTTTAGTTTAGATATTATAGATTAATTTATTTTGGGAGGGAATATTTTTATTGTTGTTTAGTTTTTGTTATAATGAGAGTTAAAAGCGGACAGACAATAGCAAAAGAGAGTAAATTTACGGGCAAGGAAAAGTTCGGCGTG